TACTATGACGTACTTTACTATGACAACACTATACTATGACGTACTTTACTATGACGACACTATACTATCATGTACTTTACTATGACGACACTATACTATCATGTACTTTACTATGACGACACTATACTATGACGTACTTTACTATGACAACACTATACTATGACGTACTTTACTATGACGACACTATACTATGACGTACTATACTATGACGTACTATACTATGACGTACTTTACTTTGACAACACTATACTATGACGTACTTTACTATGACATCTCACGCTATAAAATGACAACACTATACTATGACGTACTTTACTATGACATCTCACGCTATACTATGACGTACTTTACTATGACAACACTATACTATGACGTACTTTACTATGACGACACTATACTATGACCACACTATACTATGACAACACTATACTATGACGTACTTTACTATGACATCTCACGCTATACTATGACGATACTATACTATGACGTACTTTACTATGACGACACTATACTATGACCACACTATACTATGACCACACTATACTATGACGTACTATACTATGACAACACTATACTATGACGTACTTTACTATGACATCTCACGCTATACTATGACGATACTATACTGTGACGTACTTTACTATGACGACACTATACTATGACGTACTTTACTATGACGACACTATACTATGACGTACTTTACTATGACATCTCACGCTATACTATGACGATACTATACTGTGACGTACTTTACTATGACGACACTATACTATGACGTACTTTACTATGACGACACTATACTATGACGTACTTTACTATGACATCTCACGCTATACTATGACGTACTTTACTATGACGACACTATACTATGACCACACTATACTATGACGTACTATACTATGACATCTCACGCTATACTATGACGATACTATACTGTGACGTACTTTACTATGACGACACTATACTATGACGTACTTTACTATGACATCTCACGCTATACTATGACGATACTATACTATGACGTACTTTACTATGACGACACTATACTATGACCACACTATACTATGACGTACTATACTATGACAACACTATACTATGACGTACTTTACTATGACAACACTATACTATGACGTACTTTACTATGACATCTCACGCTATACTATGACGATACTATACTGTGACGTACTTTACTATGACAACACTATACTATGACGTACTTTACTATGACATCTCACGCTATACTATGACGATACTATACTGTGACGTACTTTACTATGACGACACTATACTATGACGTACTTTACTATGACGACACTATACTATCACGTACTTTACTATGACGACACTATACTATGACGTACTTTACTATGACATCTCACGCTATACTATGACGATACTATACTATCACGTACTTTACTATGACGACACTATACTATGACGTACTTTACTATGACATCTCACGCTATACTATGACGATACTATACTATCACGTACTTTACTATGACGACACTATACTATGACGTACTTTACTATGACGACACTATACTATCACGTACTTTACTATGACGACACTATACTATGACGTACTTTACTATGACATCTCACGCTATACTATGACGATACTATACTATGACGTACTTTACTATGACGACACTATACTATGACGACACTATACTATGACGTACTTTATTAAGACATCTCACGCTATACTATGACGTACTTTACTATGACAACACTATACTATCATGTACTTTACTATGACGACACTATACTATGACGTACTTTACTATGACAACACTATACTATGACGTACTTTACTATGACATCTCACGCTATACTATGACGATACTATACTATGACGTACTTTACTATGACGACACTATACTATGACGTACTTTACTATGACGACACTATACTATGACACTATACTATGACATCTCACGCTATACTATGACGTACTTTACTATGACAACACTATACTATCATGTACTTTACTATGACGACACTATACTATGACGTACTTTACTATGACAACACTATACTATGACGTACTTTACTATGACATCTCACGCTATACTATGACGTACTTTACTATGACGACACTATACTATGACGTACTTTACTAAGACATCTCACGCTATACTATGACGACACTATACTATGACGTACTTTACTATGACGACACTATACTATGACGTACTATACTATGACGTACTTTACTATGACAACACTATACTATGACATCTCACGCTATACTATGACGACACTATACTATGACGTACTTTACTATGACGACACTATACTATGACGTACTATACTATGACGTACTTTTACTATGACAACACTATACTATGACATCTCACGCTATACTATGACGACACTATACTATGACGTACTTTACTATGACGACACTATACTATGACATCTCACGCTATACTATGACGTACTTTACTATGACAACACTATACTATCATGTACTTTACTATGACGACACTATACTATGACGTACTTTACTATGACATCTCACGCTATACTATGACGTACTTTACTATGACGACACTATACTATGACGTACTTTACTAAGACATCTCACGCTATACTATGACGACACTATACTATGACGTACTTTACTATGACGACACTATACTATGACGTACTTTACTATGACAACACTATACTATGACGTACTTTACTATGACGTACTTTACTATGACGACACTATACTATGACGTACTTTACTATGACGTACTTTACTATGACGTACTTTACTATGACGTACTTTACTATGACATCTCACGCTATACTATGACGACACTATACTATCACGTACTTTACTATGACGACACTATACTATGACGTACTTTACTATGACATCTCACGCTATACTATGACATACTTTACTATGACGACGCTATACTATGACACTATACTATGACATACTTTACTATGACAACACTATACTATCATGTACTTTACTATGACGACACTATACTATGACGTACTATACTATGACGTACTTTACTATGACATCTCACGCTATACTATGACGTACTTTACTATGACGACACTATACTATGACGACACTATACTATGACATACTTTACTATGACGACGCTATACTATGACACTATACTATGACATACTTTACTATGACAACACTATACTATCATGTACTTTACTATGACGACACTATACTATGACGTACTATACTATGACGTACTTTACTATGACATCTCACGCTATCCTATGACGTACTTTACTATGACGACACCATACTATGACGTACTTTACTATGACGACACCATACTATGACGTACTTTACTATGACGACACTATACTATGACGTACTTTACTATGACATCTCACGCTATACTATGACGTACTTTACTATGACGACACTATACTATGACGACACTATACTATGACGTACTTTACTATGACAACACTATACTATCATGTACTTTACCAAGACATCTCACGCTATACTATGACGACAGTATACTATGACGTACTTTACTATGACAACACTATACTATGACGTACTTTACTATGACGACACTATACTATGACGTACTTTACTATGACGACATTATACTATGACGTACTTTACTAAGACATCTCACGCTATATTATGATGTACTTTACTATGACGACACTATACTATGACGTACTTTACTATGACGACACTATACTATGACGTACTTTACTATGACGACACTATACTATGACGTACTTTACTAAGACATCTCACGCTATATTATGATGTACTTTACTATGACGACACTATACTATGACGTACTTTACTATGACGACACTATACTATGACGTACTTTACTATGACAACACTATACTATCATGTACTTTACCAAGACATCTCACGCTATACTATGACGACAGTATACTATGACGTACTTTACTATGACAACACTATACTATGACGTACTTTACTATGACGACACTATACTATGACGTACTTTACTATGACGACATTATACTATGACGTACTTTACTAAGACATCTCACGCTATATTATGATGTACTTTACTATGACGACACTATACTATGACGTACTTTACTATGACGACACTATACTATGACGTACTTTACTATGACGACACTATACTATGACGTACTTTACTAAGACATCTCACGCTATATTATGATGTACTTTACTATGACGACACTATACTATGACGTACTTTACTATGACGACACTATACTATGACGTACTTTACTATGACGACACTATACTATGACGTACTTTACTATGACGACACTATGACATTACATACTATACTACACCATATATGGGTGCGACAATACACTTGAATAACACACGAGAATGCAATTATTTTTTTAACACTATATTTAAAGAAATCTTCAATGATGATATATAGGACTGGAAAAAATGCAATTCAGTGCAGGTGCATTTTGAAATGTTGCAATTAGTCAGAAATTAACTTTTTTTTCCTGCCTGTCACTGTGGTAGGAAAGTTTTTTGTCTGCCACTCAGAGATGTTATCGGACATTATACTATTCTATGACATCACATGATAATCAGCAACAGGTTGAGAAGTCATTGATGGTTCTTGTTTATCCATCACGTCTGTGATCGTAATTGTTAATAAGTAGATGGGATCAATAACCGTGACATCATCTTCCTGTGTGGACGTGAAATCACTGTTTGGCATTTTTACTTCAAAAATGTCTTCATTAACCGCTTAGCAAATAGTTACTAATTAATTTTCTATCGTTGCAGCTACATAAGCTAAACACCAGCCACAACCTCACATTCTGTTATCATTAAGGTCTATCTGATCAATGGAGCACTAATAAGTGATTTATTAACTATTAATAAAGATTAAGTTACACCTTAGGAACCCCTCATGATGATACTCGTGTTTGTTGATTCTCACCAGCAGAGGGCAGCAGCCGGACTCTCCTCCCCCACTCAGGTTGCTGGTTTCATTCTGCAGAGCGTCAGAGGAAACGCATCAGACGAGCTTTCAGTGAACTTTATTTTCACATAGGAAGAGACATTTCACACAGACAGACATATATAGAAAAAAACTCTTTATGTCACTGGTGATGTCACTGTGACAGGGAGGAGGGGGCGGGGTCATTTCAAGGCACTATTAATTATATGAACATAGAAACAGGTGAGAGCAGGTGAACAGGTGAGGAGGTCAGAGGTCGCCTGAGGACGACTGAGCTACACAAATCAATACTGTTATCAATAGTGTCATCAGAGTCAGTGAGAGGGTCGGCTGCTGTCAGGAAGCTACAGTGTGCTCGTCTAAACCAAAACTCATCATCATCATCATCATCGTTATCAGGAAGGTTCAGGAGTCTTAGAAGTCTGTGATCCATAATCAATAAGGTTTCATAAAAAGAGACAGCCGGAAGCAAAGTTAAATATAAACTCAGCAGAAGTTAACAGAAAAACAAAATCCAATAAAATCAGAGAAAAAAAGAAAGAAACAGATTTTAAATCAGCAGGAAACGGTTTCAGAAAACGTCACAGGACTTTAAAGACGCTGATTTCTGCAGGAGAGAAACGAAACCTCAACAGAAGTTTTGTAAACCTTTTAACAGGCGGTTTAATGTCGGAGGTCAAAGGTCAGCAGGAGCAGCAGACTGAATCCAAACGTCTGGATGTTACCTGCGTTCACACACCTGTTCACTTCAGAGAGCTGACGGCTACAGAGGGACTACAATTCAAATAAACTTTTAGTCTTTCGGTACTTGGGATAAACATCATGAATTAGACTATTGGATATTGAAATGACAAATTAATATTGTGAATTAACAATTTGAGTAGGAACCAATGAGCTTGGAGCCGAGAGCCACAGAAAGGAAGAGAGACAGTCCTGGGAGACGGACCGACAGGTCGGTGGATTAAGAATCATGTTCACAGGGTGGACGTTTGGATTCAGTCAGGATCAGAATCAGACCGTCAGTCAGTCGAGGTGATTGTTTCCTGCAGCACATGAAATCAACACTGACAGAGTGAAACACTTCTAACACTCCTCAACCACAAGAGGTGTGTGTGTTTATGTGAGCAGCCACGCATGCTGCAGACACTGCGCTGCTGTCGCTCTGCGGTCAGGCTGCAGATCCAACATGGTCAGCAGGAAGTCGCTGAACTGAGCCGCCTGATCGAGCGGCCACTCGTACTTCTCCAGCAGAACCTCGAACAGAGCCCACGGCTTCAGGCTGGAGATGTGACGCAGCTCACCTGAGACGGGAACAGGGACGGGAACAGGGAGGGGAGTCGTGAACAGGGAGGGGAGACGGAAACAGAGAAGTGAAAGGGGACCAGAGAGGGGAGACGGAAACAGAGAGGGGAGACGGAAACAGAGAGGGGAGACGGAAACAGGGAGGGGAGACGTTAACAGGGAGGGGAGACGTTAACAGGGAGGGGAGACGTTAACAGGGAGGGGAGACGTTAACAGGGAGGGGAGACGGAAACAGAGAGGGGAGACAGGGAGGGGAGACAGGGAGGGGAGACAGGGAGGGGAGACAGGGAGGGGAGACGGAAACAGAGAAGTGAAACGGGACCAGAGAAGTGAGACGGGACCAGAGAAGTGAGACGGGAACAGAGTTTCACAGATAAAAAGAAGCTTACGGACATTAAACCTGAAGGAGAGAAGTTGACTACGACTCCCAATTAAAGAGCTTGACATTCTGTTGTTTCTATAAAGTGTAACATTTAACTTCAGCACGCTAGACGCCTTAGCTTCTTTCTCCATAGCAGCAACAGCTGAGGCTCATGGGTAATGTAGTGTTTAGAAATAGACAAAGAGTCAGACAGACAGCCTGTCTCACCTTTCCTGTTGAAGTACTCTCTGGAGTACCTGCCAGACAAAGCGAAGGGCAGAGGAATCGGGCCGAGCAGCTCGATGATGTGAGCGATGTGATCTGAACACACACACACACAGTACAAATACACACTGAAGTACTCTGTAATACACCGCAGTCCTCTAGTACTATAATCCTGCAGTAGTGTGTGTAGTGTGATGTGAGTACCTTCGTCTCTGGTGTAATCTTCTCCTGAATGAGGTTCGAACAGGTAATCTCCCGTCGCCAACTCAAACGCCTGAAACACCAATCGATACGTCAATACACTGTCATGTGATCACACCTGCTGAGTGCGTGTGCGTGGTTGAGTGTGTACCATGCAGGCGGTGCTCCAGATGTCAGCAGGCGGTCCGTACTCTGCTCCAATCAGAACCTCCAGAGCTCGGTACTGTCTGGTCTGGATGTCCTCTGTGAAGTGTTTGTGCTGGACGAGAGACATGCACAGACACAGAGAGAGAGAGAGATAGGGGAGGCGTGTGATTGGTCGGAAGTTTGTACTGACAATACAAAGAGGAGGAGATGATGATGAAGGTGTCTCACCACCCAGCATGCATTTCCCAGATCCGCGATCTTCACTCTCAGCTTGTGGGCGTTCTGAGGATCCAGCGGACTGAGGACGAAGTCTGAAGCGCTGAACACTGAAACACACAAACAATAGCGGCGTTAACTCGGACTCAGAGACGCCTCAGAGAAAAGGTCGTGGTTCCATCCTGAGGCGTCGCTTAGCTGCTCCAGTAGAGCACCATGAAAATCCTAAAATCGACCAAACTAGAATTGAGTCTTATTATGGTGGCTGGAACAGAAACACACCTGCTGCAGGTGAAAACAGCTGTTTCTTTGTTGAGTTATGATATGAAATATTTGGGCTCAGACAAAAATTCAGCACCAGTTTTCAGTCGAGACCAAGCGGGAAGCTTCCGGCTACAAGTTGATTGACAAGTCACTACCACGGCGACCTGTCAATCAGGATAGAGCTGACTTGTAACCAGCTTATCAGGAGTCAGCTGTTCACTTTCTCTGGTGAGCACATTTAGTTTTAAGACTGTTGTTCTCTAGACAAACTTATCAGCCTGTTAAATAACAGTTAACGTGAGTAACAGATGCACCTCGCTAAGCAAGCTAGCTAGCTCCGCACATGGCCGTTAGCTCCACCATCTCGTCCAAATTTGGTCAGAGCCTTTTTTAGTATCCAGAGATAATACCGCTCACAGTAGCTGGTTGTCATAGCAACGCCACACACAACTGCCGAGACATAATTTTCAATGCGACACACACACAGCTGTCTCTTGATTTAAGTTAAAGCGTTTGAACCTTCCTCAGAATGTAAAGACAGATAAGCGGTATGAAAAGCTTCCAGCTGTGTTTTCCTCTGCCGTTGTTGCTGCAGCGGTCTGTGTGACGGCAGGAGCAGAGGGCGGGGGAAGCCCTTCAGTCAGGATTTAGAGCTCATCATAGCACAGAGACAGCACTGGTGAAAATTACTAACGACCTCCTAATTGCATCAGACAAAGGACTTGTCTCTGTACTGGTTTTATTAGATCTTAGTGCTGCATTTGATACCATTGACCATCAGATCCTATTGCAGAGACTGGAACATTTCATTGGCATTAAAGGAACCGCTCTAAGCTGGTTTAAGTCCTATTTATCAGATCGATTTCAGTTTGTACATGTTAACAATGAGTCCTCCATGCACGCCAAAGTTAATCATGGAGTTCCTCAAGGATCTGTCCTCGGACCAATCCTCTTCACTTTATATATGCTTCCTTTAGGCAATATTATCAGGAAATATTCCATAAGCTTTCATTGTTATGCAGATGATACTCAGTTATATCTATCGATCAAACCAGATGAAACTAATCAGTTAGCTAAACTTCAAATGTGCCTTCAGGATGTTAAAACCTGGATGACCTGTAATTTTCTAATGTTAAACTCAGATAAAACTGAAGTTATTGCTCTGGGGCCTAAGCACCTCCGTGACGCATTATCTAAAGATATAGTTTCCCTTGATGGCATCGCCCTGGCCTCCAGCACCACTGTGAGGAATCTTGGAGTTATCTTTGATCAGGACATGTCGTTTAAGTCTCACATTAAGCAAATTTCAAGGACCGCCTTTTTCCACCTACGTAATATTGCGAAAATCAGGAACATCCTGTCTAAAAATGATGCAGAAAAACTAGTCCATGCATTTGTTACTTCTAGGCTGGATTACTGCAATTCCTTATTATCAGGCTGCTCGAAAAAGTCTGTTAAGACTCTTCAGCTGATCCAGAATGCTGCAGCACGTGTTCTGACAGGAACCAGGAAAAGAGATCACATTTCTCCTGTTTTAGCTTCTTTGCATTGGCTTCCAGTAAAATCCAGAATAGAATTTAAAGTCATTCTTCTTACCTACAAAGCTCTTAATGGTCAGGCACCATCTTATCTTAAAGAGCTCATAGTACCTTACTACCCCACCAGAGCACTGCGCTCCCAGAATGCAGGGTTACTTGTGGTTCCTAGAGTCTCCAAAAGTAGACTAGGAGCCAGAGCATTCAGCTATCAAGCTCCTCTCCTGTGGAACCAGGTTCCAGTTTGGGTTCAGGAGGCAGACACCATCTCCACATTTAAGAGTAGGCTTAAGACTTTCCTCTTTGATAAAGCTTATAGTTAGGGCTGGCTCAGGTGAGTCCTGAACCATCCCTTAGTTATGCTGCTATAGGCCTAGACTGCCGGGGGATTTCCCATGATGCACTGAGCCCCTCTCTCCTCTACTTTCTCTCCCTCTGTATGCAACCTCATCCCATTATTGCATGTTACTAACTCAACTTCTCCCCTTTCTGGTAGTCTTGTGCTTTCTCGTCCCTCTCCTCTCTCCTCCTATCACTTCCTGCAGGTTTTCTGGCTCTGGAGCTGTGGAGTCTGGATCTGTGGTTGCGGGTCACCTGCTGCCCCCGTGTTCCTGCTCGACACCCTCTGCTGCAACGACTATTGTTGCTAGTCCTACTATTATTATTGTTATTATAATAATTAACACTACGACTGTTATTATTAACACTACTATAAATATCTGTACCATTTTTCACTTAGTCTATAGCAACATCACCTTTACTGTCCGTACCTCTGTGTGGATATATTGTGTAGGCTGCTTCCCTCCCCCTCCCCCTCCCCCTCTCCCCCTCCCCGGCCAGACAATTGCATTAGAATGTTGATTAAACCATTGTTTATCTCCTCTTTGTAATGTGAAGGAAACTGACACCTCTTTGTTTAGTGCCAGAAGGATCATTTTGTTTAACTTCTTCATAGACTACTAAGATTGGGTGTCGACCGTTTTGGAGACAACCTCTGTTGTGTTGTAGGACTAGTTGGTAGAGCAAAGACTGTGTATTCCTGTATATCAAAGGGGGTTCTACGTCTGGGGTCAGCGCTCTTTTGTTCGACCAAAAGCAACGTAGAACAGTAAGGTACACCCTTCTTAATTGGGTGACGAAGAAGTAACCAAACGACCAATGGCTATGGTCCTGAGCCATTTGGAGGAAAAAAAGGACCCGCCCACATACCTGGAGGATATTAACAACCTATTTTGATGATGATGATGATTTGGATAGAGATGTTCAAGCCAAATTACATTTATACGCTGATGATACAGTGGTTTACACCCAGGCTTCCACCATTTCAGCAGCAGTGCAGGAACTTCAGACTGCATTTCAGGCATTGCAAAATACATTATTGAGTCTAAAACTGGTTTTAAATACACAGAAAACAAAGTTTATGGTCTTCTCAAAAGCTCGAGCACAGCTACTTGACTGTGGCCTCTTGTCCTTAGATGGGAAATCAATTGAGAGAGTGTCTTCATACAAGTACTTGGGGATATGGATAGATGATAAGCTCTTCTTCAATGAACATATTACTGCTTTAGTAAAGAAACATAAAGTCAAGCTTGGCTTTTATTTCAGAAACAAATCTTGTTTTACTTTTAGTGCTAAGAAGAAACTTGTGGAAGCTACTTTTCTGTCTGTAACAGCACTGGTATATCTTTATTTATAAAGCTATACTTGGCAAACTTCCACTGTACCTCTGTAACCTCCTCTCTGTCTGCTCTGGTACCTATCAGCTACGCTCCTAAAAGTGGCTGCTTTTTAAGGAGCCACGAGTTGCAACCGAATTTGAACTGCTTTCTCTTATTCAGCACATTGGGGGTGGAATAATCTACAGAAAGAGCTGAAGTTAGAAACCCTTATGTCCATTAATGAATTTAAAACTACTGTAAAGAATGTTGTGATGGAGACATGTTCTTGTTGTTCTTGAGAGTCTCATTGTGTTTTTTAACATTTTGTACTTCTTTTATCATGAAAATGTAACTTGGTGTTTATTATGTATGCATTTGTTGTGATTTGGCAGCTACCTTGGCCAGGTCTCTCTTGGAAAAGAGATTCTGAATCTCAATGGGACTTCCTGGTTAAATAAAGGTTAAATAAAAAAAATAAACAACATAAAATTTAACCATATCTGTGTGTGTTTTCTTACCGTCTCGCCCGCTAGAGCATCCTGACTGAATAGAAAGTGCTGACTCAGACGTCGCTGACATCACAGAGCTGGAGAACCCTGATAGGCCAGAGGCGGGGCTGGAGAACCGCCCGGGGGCGTGGCCGTTACACCTGTCCTCCAACCAGGAGCAGGTGGACTCTGGGCTGGCTTTGCTGTTGGCTGTGGAGCAGGAATTGTTGTTGCCGTTGACGACCAGAGAACCTGAGAGTAAAAGAGAAGTACAAGTTTATTCAACCAATTACTACATTTAGAGAGTCTGTATAAGTTATATGTAGTAAAAGAATATTTAACTGCACATGCGGATTCGAATGACGTCAGAACTGATTCACCCATTATTTATAATAATAATTAAATAATAATTAATACATATGCAGAGGTTCAGTGTGTAACAGCGGGTAACAGCGGGTAACAGCGGGTAACAGCGGGTATCGGCTGGTATCGGCATGTAACAGCGGGTATCGGCTGGTATCGGCATGTAACAGCGGGTATCGGCTGGTATCGGCATGTAACAGCGGGTATCGGCTGGTATCGGCATGTAACAGCGGGTATCGGCTGGTATCGGCATGTAACAGCGGGTATCGACTGGTATCGGCATGTAACAGCGGGTATCGACTGGTATCGGCATGTAACAGCGGGTATCGACAGGTATCAGCATGTAACAGCGGGTATCGGCATGTATCGCCGTGTAAAAGTGTGTATCAGTGTGTACTCACAGTTACTGTCTGTGTCGTCAGGTTGTAACAACACACAGTCTTCCTCCTCCATCCTCTGAACACAAGGACAAAATGGAAACTTTTATTTTGGAGGGATCATTTTGTCACATCCTGTTGCACTCTGATTGGCTGCTGTAACACAGCTGCTCTTCAACAGTAGTAATAAGTACTAATATAAGTAATATTATAGCATTAATACAGTGAAAAGAGATGCACACGGACATTTAAAAACTATGACAAGGTAAATAAAATAAATCAAAAAAATAATAAAATGACATTTATTAACATAAAATCACAAATAGTTTGCTGTTTCATGAATAACCTTTAGCTCTTCCTCGCCGTCGCTGCCGTCACCTACAATTTAATGCAGAAGTGCAGCCGTCTGCTAACTAAAGGTTGACCCACACCTGAACAGCCAATCAGAATGCAGAGTTTTCAGCAGCCGTTGAGGTAACATCTTCCATCATAAATCCACGTAAACTTTCCTTTCTATCAGTACTACAGTTGTACTGCAGTACCTGTATATCCTCCAGTCTCTCCTCCAACAGTCTCTGTTGACGCTTCGCTTTCCTCTTCAGCTTCTTCTTCTTGTTCTTAGACAGCTTACCGACCTGGAGAGAGAGACGGCAGAACAAAGTGAAGTTTCTACACATCAGCTCTGTGACACTGTTGTTAAAGTGCTCTCACACACAAACACACTTGGTGTTACTGACACTACACACACTGATAGAGCTGACCACAAGCTCATCAAGTCCAGCCGCCATCTTTGTTATATTCATTTTGGATTCCAATAAAACAGTTTCGATTAGCGAGCTGTGATTGGATAAGGTGTGTACATTATACGACCCCCAGCCTCCAGAGAAACGAGCCTGCATCCGTGTCGGCGCTCAGTCGAGAGGCCGTCCTGCCCAGCAGGGAGTCGTCTTCAGAGTCAGACAAATCACATTGAGAACTGCGTTGATTGACTGGGGACATCCTCATTAGACGGGCTCCTTCGCACCAAAGCAGCGGCAACAAATTGCCGAAGGCGCAGTCAGCATTAAAGAGGGTCGACTGATACAAGGTTTTTTAAATAGCCGATTACAGAACAATACAAGGTCAGTCTGTGTGAAAATAAATTTCCATTATTCCTACAGAGTACAATCTATTATTCATGTTATCTCAGCAAGTAAACTACAGTTGGTAAGAAGTGACGTCATTAGGCTGCATTATTCTCTACAGCAGAGGTCAGTAATAGGCGGACCGCGGTCTGGACCCGGGCGCACAGCCGATCTATTATTGAGAAGTACTACCTCGTGACGGAGCGTTTCTATTTTAACCTGCGCAGCTTTTCTACCATTTACAGTAGGCGACTGTTTTAGCGGCACAGGAAACTCATGTGATGCTGCTCGGCCAATCAAATCTGTGCATTCCGATAAGCACTGGCAAAGGCGTTAACGGCCCTGAGCAGAGCTCACGTTTCTCACTGAACAAGAGGAAGTAGGGACGTGGTAGCTATATAAGAGGGAATGAAAGAGAAGAGGAGGCATTACAGCTGTTCATTTGTTAAGATGAACACACTTCAATCACTCAAAGCTTTTTATTTTATTTTTTCTGAAATTGAGCAACAAATAAAAATTATTTATTTTAAGATGCACATTTACAAAAAAAACATTTTTTAAATGCAGCCTATAGATTACTTAAATTTAGAATTTATTATTAGAGTAGTTATTATTTATTATCCCTTCAGTTTTATGTGAAAACTGACTTTGTTGAATTATATTGTTATATTGTCTCTACACAGTCTACGGATTTGACACTCATGTTGAGGCTACGCGTTATGGTCTAGGCTACTGAATGACAGCAAGTTGATCCGAACCTTTGCTTCGTGAAATTTTCTCTAACTGGACCTCTTTGAATTTTAATTGAATACCCCTGCTCTACAGTATAACATAAGGCTGTCGCGGTGAAGTCATTTCCCGCACGGCAACATGTTGGGGCTCATTCTTCATCAGTGAAGAAATCTGGCGTCAGTGGATCTCCCCTCGCTGCACAGCGAGCCGCTAACAGCAGCTTTACGGTCGGAGCAAAACAACACAAAACACGGCAACACTTCCAGCTTCAGAGTTTGAAGTCCACGGCGGCCCGTCCTTGAACCGTCACAGAGCTCGTTACGGCTGTGGAACTTTTTAACATGCTCTGAAGTGTAAAGTTTGAACATTGCGGTTGTTGTGGTGCTCGCCATCCTCCGCGGCGGGCTTGACCAATAGTCTTGCGGTTGTCGCGACAGCCCTGGTATAAGATCAGATCTGCTGTCAGTCAGGATGTGATGTGTTAACAGAAAGGACGATCTACAGCAGAACCCGATGTATCTTTCCATTTCACTCATTAATTAAAGTTCCATCTAAAACAACACGTTACCAGCTGAGACAACACGGAGATTAGATTGGACTCTGCAATAATGTATAATACATGACTTTTCTATGTTTTGATATCAGCATATCCTGCTCTCTAAATATCGGCATCAGTATTTGAAAACCCGTATCGGTCGACCTCTTCTTCCTATGAGAGATGTGTGTTGTTTTGTTGACACACTCTTGACAGTAACAGCAGAGTAAATACAGCAGGTGACAAATATCTGGAATCAAACCAGCGATGTTAACACTCGATAACCACTCGACCTCCAGGACGTCTCCCTTCCTGCTCAGAGCTTGGTCGTTTTTAGATTCAACAAGCGGGATTTTAACCAAACGGTTAGAGACACCTGAAACAAGTTGTCAATCTGAAATGGTAATAACCAATGAGAACACAGCAGGCATCACACCTGAACACTTACCTGTAGATCCCTGGGAGCCATGCTAACTAGAGAGAGAGACACACAGAGGCAGAGAGAGAGAGAGAGAGACACAGGAAGAAACATCAGAAACAGGAAATAAAGATAGAAGACAGTCAGACAGAACTGTGTGAAACAGGAGGAGGAGACGCCCGGGCCACGCCGCCTACCTGAGCAACGCGTGTGCGTCGCAGAACTTCTTACTTTACTAACTTCACCCACAAAGATTTGTCAACCTCCTAAAATATTTTGCTAATATAAAAACAGATCGGCAAATCAGATCGTTTACTTAATACTTAATACCACACTGTTACGAGTAAAAGTCCTGCATTGAAAATGTTACTTCAGTAGAAGTATGTGAGTATAAAAGCAGTAAAATGTCCCTGTGCCTGTTGCGGTACGATTATTACTCCTCATCACTAATATGAAGCCGGATGTTGCTGCTGTAGTTGTTGAGCTGGAGCTCATTCTGAACAGTTTAGTTAATGATTATTTTCATTCTGGATCAATCTGCTGATTAATTGCTCCATTAATTGATTGAGAGCCAAAAGTGATGCTTTGTTGTGTCCGACCAACAGTCCAAACCTCAACATAGGGCTGGACGATACGGCCAAAAACGTTATCACGATAAAAAGTTTCATATCTTTCGATATCAATAATTATCACGATAAATATCAATTCTTTATTTCTTTCAAGTTTAAAGGGCTGATTTTTGCTACTGAGTGAAAGTTGAAGAAACCTGATGGTTAATTGTGGTTTTAAACTTTTCTTTATGGTCAACACTTGATGCCAAACTCACTTCACAAATCTGAGGCAGAACATTCAAAACAATTATGATAAAATCTTTGTCAACAAATATGCACAATTAAAATGAAATAATAGCTTTTATCAGTCCTTTTTCCTCAACAAAATAAAAATCTTAATAAAAAAATGATGTCCTAATTTATGAATATGAATATATTTATTAAACGTCTGTTATATAGTTATTTTAAAAAATTATATTGCGCCAATTATTGTTATTGTTTTGTTGTCCAGCCCTGCCTCAACATTATAAAAAAACACAAATTATAATAATAATTTGTAATTATTAAAATAATTTGTGAAGCTGGAACAATAAAACGTTTTTACATGATAAATGCGTTCATTCATTTAATGTGTTCAGCTGTACTTGTATAAACTGTTGGTAGTTAAATTTATAACAAAACATCAAGTTCAATAAACTGTTCATTTGTATAAAAAGCTTTATTGTAAATTACTACTGAAGCTGTCAGATAAATCAAATTAATTTACAAATAATGAAAAAGCATTTGTGAAAAACCCTTGAATATTTACAACTTTGCGTCAGGTATTTGTGGATCCAGTTTGTATTTGTGGATCTCTGTTCTACGTTTGTGGAAGGGAAGCACTGAATATTCGGCCACCAAAATTAAGCGGCCAAAAATAGCAACAACAAAAAAAAGCCCTTTCAGTGTTCAGCCTAATGGGTCAAAAGACCGAAGAAATTTCACCAAACGATCACGTTGCCATCCGCTCCATCTGTGACTGACTTCTTAGAAAAGAAGCGCTTAGAGTGTTTCTGTCACTCGTCTGTGAGAAGGAGATTAAGCTAGCCGCACCTACATTTGGAGTGCACACGTATTCCAGCCTTTACGGTAAGTGAAGCGGCCCAGAGCGAGCTGACAGGCAGGTTAGAGACTTTATCCTGTCAGTTTGTCTCTTTACAAAGACAAGTGTTGTAGTATGAGAGTCCTGCCTGAAGAGAGGCTGGGAAGTCTTCATGTTACGCTGGACAAGAACCACATACAACATTATTTATCAAACTGGGTCGGACCGGATGAATTTAGCGCGAGGAGGAAACACATGCGACAACGTCCGGATATCAAAATAATGCGTCTACACAGGATGGAAAAAACACTAACTGGATTATATTCACAGAAAGTATAAAACATATTAAAAGTAAATGGACTCATGTAATTTACTTTACCGGACTTTACTGGATAGTCAAAAAGCTCATTTTGACTGTTTCATTTATCCAATTGTAAAAAAAAAGGCAAAATAAATGGAAAAAGTGTGAATGTACTTCTACAAATTTTTTTTATTATATTTTGCTTCGGCCAAGAATTTTCATTTCGGTGCATTCCCACTTTGCGGGTTTGCACTTCGAGTGTTTTGATTCAAACTTTCCGTCAGTCTGAACTTAAAGCTACTCATATCAGTCGGCGACTTTCAGATTTTCTGTTCAAAGTAAGAGCGTGCAGTCTCATCAGCCCTTTTTTAAATAATCAGAAATAAGTAACATGCATTCATTGTTTAATAATGTTAATGGGATGACGTTAAGTATTAGTGTGTGTTTATTTCTCTATGTATAGTCACAAATGCTTTTTATTTATTTGCAAAATATGTTTGTGAGTTTACAAATCTTTTTTGTATTTGTGGAAAGTGTTTTATATTTACAGATTACACATTTAGCTCATCAGACAGTATGCTCTTACTTGGAAACGTGGAAATGATGTCGTGTAAAATACAAACCCACAAACGTAGAACAGAGATCCACAAATACAAACTGGATTCCAGTGTCATAAATGTTCAAAAGATATTCACAAATGCTTTTCATGAATGTATTCATAAATATTTTATTTATTCTGGAAGTTGTTTGTGTATTTGCAGATCTGTTTTGTATTTGCAAACTATTTTTGTGAGCGTACAAACATTTCTTTGTATTTGTGGAAAAACTACACATTTGCGCACAGAGTGTTGATCTGTCCACACAAGTGATATTGAGACAAATGGATCTGCATACTGCAGACATGCGTCATCTAGAGATTCAGCCTACAGCTGCAACGATTAATTGATTAGTTGTCAAGTATTAAAATAATCGCCACCTAATTTGATAATTGATAGATCGTTTAAAGAAAGAAAAGTCAAAATTCTCTGATTACAGCTGTTTGAATGTGAATATTTTTCACATTTCTTAACTCCTCTATGACACTAAGACGTCATCCTGGGCTTTGGGACACACTGATCAACATTTTCTGACATTTTAGCTGGAATAGTTAGTGAAAATGATCTGTTGACGGTTAAACTGACATCATACGAGCAACATTAAACCTTCCAACCACACTGTGAATATCTGTAGAATAGACATTTACTTAGTTTTTACAATTGAGAGCGCGCTTTTTTCCCCTCTTTCCGTCCAATGAAATGAAACATGCTATTGATGATGATAATGTAGAAAGACCTGCTGTCTGTGTTAAAGACGCATGCGTGTTAATCACGCACAGGTACAGGTCGGCGCTGTGGCTCGGCGTTTGAAAGCAGACAGACAGATAGAAGACAGACAGACAGGAAGCTGAAACCACAGCTCCCAGTAACACTGCTGTCTGACTCCAGTGGACACACAAACTGTCAAACTGAAGTCAGAATTACTGAAGAATCCAGATTATCTCATGAGAAAAAAAACATTAGTCCCTCCACACAGCGTGAGAGCACAGATCTGACAGCTTGACTCAGGATCTCCTGGGTGTTTTGACTCTGACTCGATGTTGGAGGTTTCAGCTTGTTTTCACAAAAGTTTAAGTCAACACACTCGTTGTCTTGTCCTTCTGACCAATCACACGGCTTGCTCCTCACCTGATGACCCGGAAGGGGGCGGGGCTCCAGCTTTCTGCCAGATGGTTGCCTCAGCCGCCAGTCTCCTGATGTAAACCTCATCGACGTCCAATAAGATGTTCTCTGGTTTGATGTCAGTGTGGATGATCTTACACTTAGTGTGGAGGTAGTCCAGACCCTGCAGCACCTGTGAGCACACAGCCGAGTCACTGCCAAGGTCAGCCAGGTCACTGAGGACACCTCACTGTGTGTATACTAGTGTGTATGACAACGTTTGCGTGTTACCTGTCTGATGATGGTCTTGACACAGATCAGGGGAAGTCCCATGTAGTTTGACTTAATGATCCATTTTAACAGCTGATGACCCAAAACTTCCAGAACCATGCAGACATCTGAGAGAAGCTGAGGAAAGTACTGACTGACAGAGACAGACAGGTGGACAGACAGGTACTCAGTAAGGATACGGACTCCGTTGACTCCAGAGATCTTGAAGTCGTCGATCAGCTGGACGATGGTTTCTCTATAGGGGTCAGAGGGGTCACTGTCTCTCACCTGTATGGAAACAGACTGGTTACCTGCGTTACTCTGTAACACCTGGGACCTGTACTAGGAAGCCAGTTCAACATTCCCGCAGGATATCTGTGCATTATCTGGCTGCACTAACCACCGATCAGGAATGAACTCGCTAAGCCAACCCAGGGTCTCCCAATCAAACAGCCCGTTCTCACTCCCAAGTCATCGCATATGGTAAGTAAGTAACATTTATTTATATAGCACTTTTCACAGATAAAAATCACAAAGTGCTTCACAATAAAACAACAAAGTACCGTTCTAGCTAAACACCAGAAACACATTGACATATGGCAGACAACTTTAAAACCAACCCTAATGTTTGACTAACAGAGTCTTCAGCTGCTTTTTAAAAGAAACAACACAGTTTAAGGTGCGTAACGAAGTGGGGAGTGCATTCCACAACCTGGGTGCAGCGGCTTGGAAGTGGGTCTGGGGAACTACTAAACGCCTCTGAGGGGGGGGGGGGGGGGGGGGGGTTAGGGTTTGACGTTGTAACGCTCTAAAAGTAAGGACCAAGATTAAAAAGTTAAAAGATATTTAACAGAAAAGACCGAATAAGGAGGTTGGGGTGGATGGAGGGCCAGAAGCCGGACTTTCAACCAGTAGAACAATGTTTTTTCCCGTGCGCACCAAAATGTCAACATTAAATGTTTTTATTTAAGTTACATAGGTTAGGTAAGTAACATTACATATCTTACATAATTTAACAGACGTGCATAACAGTTTTTTAAACCAAAACCAGGATCTATTCCTAAACTTAACCAAGTGGTTTTGGTGCCTAAACCTAACCAAGTGGTTTTGGTGCCTAAACCTGACCAAGTGGTTTTGGTGCCTAAACCTGACCAAGTGGGTTTGATGTCTAAACCTAATCAAGTGGTTTTGGTATCTAAACCTGTCCAAGTGGTTTTGGTGCCTAAACCTGACCAAGTGGTTTTGGTGCCTAAACCTGACCAAGTGGTTTTGGTGCCTAAACCTGACCAAGTGGTTTTGGTATCTAAACCTGTCCAAGTGGTTTTGGTGCCTAAACCTAACCAAGTGGTTTTGGTGCCTAAACCTGACCAAGTGGGTTTGATGTCTAAACCTAATCAAGTGGTTTTGGTATCTAAACCTGTCCAAGTGGTTTTGGTGCCTAAACCTGTCCAAGTGGTTTTGGTGCCTAAACCTGACCAAGTGGTTTTGGTGCCTAAACCTGACCAAGTGGTTTTGGTGCCTAAACCTGACCAAGTGGTTTTGATGTCTAAACCTAACCAAGTGGTTTTGGTGCCTAAACCTAACCAAGTGGTTTTGGTGCCTAAACCTAACCAAGTGGTTTTGGTATCTAAACCTGACCAAGTGGTTTTGATGTCTAAACCTAACCAAGTGGTTTTGGTATCTAAACCTGACCAAGTGGTTTTGGTATCTAAACCTGACCAAGTGGTTTTGGTATCTAAACATGACCAAGTGGTTTTGGTATCTAAACCTGACCAAATTGTGATGTTTGACAACATCAAAAACATGGCGTTTCAAAATTGCAATGTTCCGTTTCGCTGACTTGACCACGGAGCCCTGAACTTCGAAAAACTGCGCTAAAGAGTACCCAGGGTGTTAAAAAGGGGTCTTGACCAAGTGTCCAATACGTGACGAGTTGAGAGTGAGAATATGTTGAATCCAACCATGACCGCATCCAGATAAAAGGGCCAGTGTTTGAAGCAGATGACCAATCGCAGACATGGACATGTCTACCGGCAGCAGAGCGGCATATTTTACAAACCAAGAGCCAACTGTAATATTAGACAGACAGGATGAAGGTCAACACAAAATCCAGGGAACTGTGTGGATGTGGAAGTTAACAGGCTGATAATATCACGGCCCATCATTAGGACACGAGCAGCTCTGACTATGACCCTAATTACATTTGTTGGTTCCATTAAATGAATTTGTTCTGAAGAGTGTTTGACCATGTAAGCCTGAGTCTTTCAGCTGCAGCTGCAGTGTGTCGGCGTTCCCACATTGAAAGCCTTGAATTCAATTCAATTCAATTTTATTTATATAGCGCCAAATCACAACAACAGTTATCTCACAGCGCTTTTCATAAAAGAGCAGGTCTAGACCGAACTCTGTGATGATATTTACAGAAGCCCAACAGTTCCCACCAAGAGCAGCACTAGGAGACAGAGGCAAGGAAAAACTTCCTTCCTTTGCACGCTAAATAAGTGGTCGTTCAACTCACTTTAAGAACTTCTCGTCGCTTCAAACATCAGATTCATTTATTTATCACACTCATCATCAACATTTGATCTAAATTAACTTCAATAAAGAACCCAAAAATCCATTCATGCCATTAAAAGAGCTCAAATAGTGATGAAAGACTTTTTACCGAAAGAATCTTAACCGAAAAACCAAATAACAAAAGGAGGGCGCTACATGACCAGCTTGTAATATAAGAAACAAATGCACCTGAAAGTATAATAAATGAATTCATATTAAATTTAACTTGAGCCCCAAAATATCTGCTCATAATATTCATCCTCACATAAGAAGAAAAATGAAGCCATTTATTTTAACAGCTGTGTGCATGAGACTCACACATCTGAGCAGCTTGATCTCATCCAGAGCCGTCTCGGTGTAATGCGGAGCGCTTTTCACCACCTTCAACGCCACAAAACGCTTCTTCCTAAACACAAACACAGATTCGGAGGATGTGACAGAACAGAAACAGAATCAGTGCTTTAAAACAAGGTGTGTGTGGAGGGGGGGCTTGTTTTACTATATTCATGGGGTGCAAAAAACAGGATTACAATATACTTGTAGTGTCCAACAGCTTCGTGAGGAGCAAAATGCTTGACCCACAAGTTTAAAGGGCTGTTTGAGGGTTAAGACTTGGTTTTAGGGATAGGCTTAAATCCCCGGACATACTTGCTTTTAACTTCGCGTACGCAAGATGGCTGCCACGCGTATCCTGCGTTCCTTTGGAGCTTAGGTTGTACACGTCTCCAGAAATTAACGCTATGCATCCACGAGATGCAGTTCAGCACATGAACGTGGGGTCAGTGTGTCGATCTGATCGGAAGGTCAGCAGCGACCTCCTGCTCCACACACCAGCCAGGTGGTGGCGGCATGCAGTCGGTTTGCCAACCGCCATTAAACGCAAAACAAGAATAAGAAGTACAGCAGCAGACTTAAAAAAAAGGTGATTTATGGCGGTTTACAGTGAAATTCCTGGAGCTGGTTCGCAATTACCAAGATCGTTATGATGTCTCAATAAAATCACAACCTGCTCGAGTGTCGCTGTGTTTGGTTTGTTTACAATGTGCAAATTGGGAGGTTATCAAGGAAGATGATCCGACCCTGATCTGCCCCCTAGTGGATTCATGTTTAATCCTCCAGGTACACGTAAAGTATGCAGGCAAGTACGTGAACAAAGCCGTTTGCATCGCCGACACCGGTCTACGCCTACGCCTTGATAAAAAGCGAGTATGTCGTGGGCTTAAAGGTTAGGCATGTAGTTCTGGCGGTTAAGGTTAGGGTTAGGGGCTAGGGATGTCCCAACGTGTAGGATGTGTCTTACTGCAGGTCCCAGCAGAGCCAGACTGTAGAAAAATGTCCCCAGCCCAGTTTTCGGACCACATGGTACCTCCCGTTAAACAGATCACCGATCATCACTGGGTAGTAACCACCTGGAACACAAACAGAACCAACTGAACAGGGACAGAACACAGCAGGGACCGACAGACACTGTGGACATCAATATGAAAACCCAGGTACGGGTATGCGGACCAGGAGCTGAGAACGTCTGCAAGAGGGTCGCCTCTATGAGACTGAGGGTGTTTGTTGTTGGTTCATCAGGTCTGGGACTGTATGTCTTAGTCTTGCACCTGTCCACAAGGTCTTTAACTCCCTCCAGAGGAATTTGTCTTGGATCCCGGGCAAAGTGGGGTACAAGAGCGTCGTGTTGTGCTACTGCCTGTTATAGACCTGGCTGCTGGACACAAAGAAGAAGTCGTCCTATTCCTATATATCGTCCTATATATTGAAAGGTTCTTTCAGGCTGATGAGAGGGGACGACTGATTGTAAAACTTTAAATTTAGATTCTGCATGTGATCAGCATCCTCCTGGACTCCTCCCTTTGCAGGGCAGGACCCCGGTGCTGACACAGCACACATTAGAGGGTTTATATACCCCATCAGACCCTGGCGAAGCATCGGGTTCCTCCACGAGTAGCTGGAGGACGGGGCTTAGGAAAAGGATGGATGTGTTACCTTATTGAGCCTTCTGCCACTGCGAGTCAGACCCAGATAAATAATGGATTAAATTCACTCAATCACTCAAGGTTATCAGTCAAAACAATCTATTTTGGGACCACAGAGTTTCATCATCAGTGTCAATCATCCAGTCTGGAACCCCGTCAACACTCACCTTTGCAGTAATCTGACGGGTCTTCCTGCTCTTCATCGTCAGAGCCCAGCAGCTGTGCAGGGGGTGGGGTTAATGCCGGAGGGGGAGGGCTCAAATTGGGAGGGGGTGTGGTCAGTTGAGGGGTGGCTGATGACATCATGGGAAGCAAACCAATGGGGGGATCCAGAGAGTCAAGGGAGCAGGGGAAGGAGGCGGAAGAGGACGCGCCAGGGGAGTAGAGGTGGGAGGAGACGCTGGAGGTGAAGGTCACCGCGGTCAGCGGGAACGGGTCAGGGTGGGAGGGGCTTACTGGAGGAGTGGGAGGAGCTCTGGCAGGATGCTGGGCAGAAAGTAATTCCGATGCATTGTGGGTAATATCGTGCGGTAAGGTTGGAGGTGATTTAAAGGGAGCCGTTTGCTCGTCAGAAAGACTCTGAGTGACATTTTGGAGAGTTCTGTGAGGCAATCTGGAGGAATCCTGGGTAATATTTTGGTTAACAGCTGGCGGTGATGGGCTGGGGCTGTGGGTGGGATTTTGAGATGTGGTGGGAGGTGACTGGCTGAAAATCTGAGGAATCACTGGCGCTGTCAGGGGGGTGTTCACGGGGAGCAGCAGGGCTGACTGGAGGGTACTTTCAGGAGGCACAAGGGGAGCTCCTGGGGTATCTACTGTATCTATAAGGGCTGGTGTGGTCTTTAGGGTGTGCTGTGGAGGTGGCGAGGGGGGCCGGGGGACACTCTGGGGGGGCAACAGGGTGCTTTCTGTGGGCAACGTAGTGGTGAGTGGGGCGTTTTGTAGGGGTGTTGGGGTGGATTCTTGGACATCTTCGGTACACGTTTGCGTATTTCCTGGCGATGTGGTGGTTTCTAGAGTATTTCGGGAGGGCAGCCTGGTCGTTTGGGGGCAACTCTGCGACAATGTCGGAGGGAGGCTGCTGTTGGCATTTAGAGTCTGAAGGTCACAGAGATCATCAGGCCTGAAACACAGGAAAATAAGGTATTACACCAGGGCTCCACTGGAAGTCTCATTTTGTAAATCTCTGAAACAATCTGATATTTTTTGGAGAATTTGTGCGTATACCCCTATACGCTCACTATGAACTTCTGGTCAAAAACACAAAGACACCAAAGGTGCATCCAAGCTTGAAGCTTTCGGTCCGAGATGCGATTCTAATGCAGAACTCCTGTAAACCTGCATTCTATTGAACGGCCAGCAGGGGGCGACTCCTCTGTTTGCAAGAAGAAGTCCGGCTCCATTAGAAATAATGTTAAAATGTTTCTACTTGTCAGCTGATTTATTCCCTCAGTAAACACTTTCCTGATGAGTTTCTGGTCTCAGTCGCTAGTTTCAAGTCTTCTTCAACACAGCATGATGTTCATTTAGTAAATTATGGTCCCATTTAGAGGAACAGAGACCAGGAAGCAGGGGAGGCTTTAGGGCGGGGCTACAAGCTGACTGACGACCTGTCAATCAGGATAGAGGCGACTCGTATCTGCTGCTCTGTGTAAATTTAACCAGCGCCGCTGAAAAAGCTCATCAGGAGTCGGCTGCTCATTTTTCAGGAAGTACGTTTTGTTTTAAGCCTGTTTGTCGCTAGCTAAAATTAGCATCCCTGTCAAAATGACAGTTAACGTGAATTACAGATGCACCTCGCTAACCAAGCTAGCTAGCTCCGCACACGGCCGTTAGCTCCACCGTCTCGTCCAAATATGGTCACGTCAAGTGCCGCTGGTTGCTAAAAATCAACATGGCGGCGCCCTCCCGGCCAAACTCGAGGCTTGAAAACAGGTGACGTCACGATGACTACGCCCGCTTCTTATATGCCGTCTATTGGTGCATCTGAAGTCTCTTATTTTTTATTTCCTCCTCTGTATGTTGTGCACCAAGGTGCGATGAAACTCGAGACCAACCTTTACGGAAGTCTTTTACTGGCAGACACGCCCCTGATTGATGTGTTGCAGCTGACCTCATACATCACGCAGTGTTTCCCATACATTGATTTATATCAAGGCTGGACGCCTCATTTTGATTTATTATGGTTTAAAGTCGTATTTCATTGTGTTCATCGCTCAGCACCTCCTCTCGTTCACTCCCTCTTTCTCTCACGAGGACAATGACTACGGACCCGTCTGTGAACAGCCCCTCATTTTGTGCACAATCTCAATCAAAACCTGATCATGCAGCGGAGGAACGATTATTGCCGGCTTTTCCGTGCAGAGAAGATTCCTGAATCAATCCGGAGTTTAATGGTTAGTGGAAAGGTTGGATTAAGTGAGAGAGAATTAATAACTTCTTATTCTGCCTGACTGACGGCAGATAACCGCATCACACATGCATGAAATGAAACTCCAGCAGCGACCTCAGTGTGACCAGCAGATAATATTTAAGAGTGACATCATTTTAAAATAAGAGAATGATCATCTGTCTCTCAGTCTCAGGATTTAAAATGAATCGAATGGACTAATTATTATCAGGCAGCAGCACCATGTTTATTTTCTACATTTTATATTTTCTACAATTTCTTATTTATGTTAATGTTAAGAATCTATAGAAAAGATTCTACGCAATAAATATTGTTTGTTTCTACCTCGTCCTGTTCTGCAGAGGTTTCTTATTCTGAGAACGACAGACGCTGTCATGTGTGACGGGTCAGGTGGGAGTCAGGCAGGTGCTAATAGGATTTTTAAGATGATTTTGGTTAACTAGCTAAATTGAACCGTTCCTCAGCCTTTCTGCAAATCCTTCAAGAGATTACGGGGCTGCTGCAGATCCAGAGCGTCCACCTGATCACTTCACCACCTAAAAAATCCTTTTTTTTTTTAAACGCTTGTTTTCATAAAAGCCCTTCTGGGGATGTTATTAAAGTAGCATCTGTTATAAGCACTATGCTAGTTGTTTGGCTATGTGTATAATGTATCTGTCCCCGTCAAGTAAACCATTAATAAAGAGAAAAAATGTGATTCTGACCACGTAGACATAGTCAGGTGTGTTTCTGCATGAAACGGACAACACATGGATCATGTATCTGCAACACACACACACAGCTGCTTTCCATGACATCTCTGAGTCATGGACATTGTTGAGGTTCGCATGAGCTGCACTGAAATAGCCTGAAGAGAGTGTGTGCGTTACAGCGTGTGTGTGTGTGTGTGTGTGTGTGTGTGTGTTTGTGTGTGCGTTACAGCGTGTGTGTGTGTGTGTGTGTGTGTGTGTTTGTGTGTGCGTTACAGCGTGTGTGTGTGTGCGTTACAGCGTGTGTGTGTGTGTGTGTGTGTGCGTTACAGCGTGTGTGTGTGTGTGTGTTTGTGTGTGCGTTACAGCGTGTGTGTGTGTGTGTTTGTGTGTGCGTTACAGCGTGTGTGTGTGTGTGTGTGTGTGTGTGTTTGTGTGTGTGTGTGTTTGTGTGTGCGTTACAGCGTGTGTGTGTGTGTGTGTGTGTGTGTGTTTGTGTGTGCGTTACAGCGTGTGTGTGTGTGTGTGTTTGTGTGTGCGTGTGTTTGTGTGTGGTGGGATCATGATTCAGTCTCTGGATCTATTATTGGAGCGGAGTCTCTCCGGGCCAAGCACCAAACCTGTTTCTGTCAGCAGGACACCAGCTAGCTTAGCACAACGCATGGGAGGAGCGGGAAACTGTTAGCCTAGCTGCTTGATTTACACGTTTCTTCTTCTTCTGTCTTTTGTATCTCCGTTACAGCGCAGGTGTGCGTCAGATCATTTTCTTCATCAAAGACAACGTGCAGAACTTCCTTTTGGAAATCTGCAGCTTTAAGTTGTTGTCACGGAGCGGTCGCCGTATAAAACAGTAAACATCAGTCTGATTAAATGATCGGTGTCACAGGTTTTGATGCCCTCAGTTAGGTTTGGTAGGAACAACGCTTCACTCTATGTCATGGAAACATCCGGAGCGTGCGGCTGAATTTCGCCGACTTGATAGTCAAACGTGGGCTGCAGGCGACTTATAAAAACACTGCTGTCAAGTGGGACACGTTCCACCTCCCGCAGAGTGCATGAGTTTAGACAAAGTCCTGACAGGCAAGTCATGCCACTCAGCCGCCATCTTGGCAACGCCACCGCAGCTATTTCACACTAACAAGACCAGGCTCCCGTCTAAATGAACGGGCAGAGTCAGAACTGCAGTTTCACTGGTCACCGGGCAGAGATGGGGACTCGAGTTTGAGACTCAGACTCAAGTCCGACTTAAGTCGCACGCACAGTGACTTCAGACTCGCTTTGAGACTCGTCCTCAAAAGACTTCGGACTTGACTCGGACTCGAGGTGCGAGACTCGTGAACAATGTTTGTTTTTAGGAAACGTCTGATGAGCGCGCCGTTATTCCCTCCCTGCGTTACCTATAACCTGCCGACGTAACACGTAGCATCAGCTGCGATTCATCATAAACTTTGGCTTTAAAACTTCATACAACAAGAACCAAACAAACATTTTTTTTACAATCATGATGCCGTGCTCAACGTCGTGATGTCTGTCAGACGTGGACGATGGCATCGACTATCGGCCCAACGCTAGTTGATCATGTAACGTTACACTGGGTTTAAGAGTCTGGGGGGTGTTGACTTACAGAAGTTAATAAGCGGTCATTAGTTGCATTGCACATTACATTAAGTGAAAAACAGGTTACAGTTACAGAATTCCTTATAGCCATGCAGTTTTATAAGCAGCCTGGATTGAACGCAGCAGTGATAAAACATTCATTATAACCACGTGAGACTCGAGACTCGACTTGGACTCTAGCTCAGAGACACTCGACTTGGACTCTAGCTCAGAGACACTCGACTTGGACTCTAGCTCAGAGACTCGAGACTTGGACTCTAGCTCAGAGACTCGAGACTTGGACTCTAGCTCAGAGACTCGAGACTTGGACTCTAGCTCAGAGACTCGAGACTTGGACTCTAGCTCAGAGACTCGAGACTTGGACTCTAGCTCAGAGACTCGAGACTTGGACTCAAGCTCAGAGACTCGAGACTTGGACTGTAGCTCAGAGACGAGACTTGGACTCTAGCTCAGAGACTCGAGACTTGGACTGTAGCTCAGAGACTCGAGACTTGGACTGTAGCTCAGAGACTCGAGACTTGGACTCTAGCTCAGAGACTCGAGACTTGGACTCTAGCTCAGAGACTCGAGACTTGGACTCTAGCTCAGAGACTCGAGACTTGGACTGTAGCTCAGAGACGAGATTTGGACTCTAGCTCAGAGACTCGAGACTTGGACTCTAGCTCAGAGACTCGAGACTTGGACTGTAGCTCAGAGACGAGACTTGGACTCTAGCTCAGAGACTTGACTTGGACTCTAGCTCAGAGACTCCTACGAGGTTTTAATATCATGTGACATGGTGACGTTCTGCAGCACTGGCGAAAAATTTCTAACCAGCATGCATCATGTTAAGTCAGCGCTGCTAAACACGACATGAAACGCACCTATTGTCTGCTTCTAAAAATAAACAAAACACTAAGACGCTGGCCACAACTTTCCCAGTTTGGGTCCAGCTGGATATCTTTGCTCCACCCAAGCAGGAACCTCCAGGTCTGAAAAGTGAAGCCTTAAACCTGCGTCCTCTCCAGCAGCCAGCAGGGGGCGACTCCACCGGCTGCAGAAAGAAGTGAGATTGTACAGAAGTCGTTACCACGGCGACCTGTCAATCAGGATAGAGGCGACTCGTATCCGCTGCTCTGTGAACATTTAACCAGCGCCGATGAAAAAGCTCATCAGTAGTCGGCTGCTCATTTTCCAGGAAGTACGTTTTGTTCTAAGCCTGTTTGTCGCTAGCTAAAATTAGCATCCCAGCTAATATCACAGTTAATGTGAATTACAGATGCACCTTGCTAACCAAGCTAGCTAGCTCATCCAAATATGGTCACACCTGGTTCCAAAAAAAACCAAGATGGTGACGGCCAAAATGCCAATGACTTCAAAACGGTAGTCCACAAACCAGCGGGGGACGTCACGCTGGCCACGCCCACTTCTTTTGTACAGGTTGAGGTTAAATCTCTAGTTCCTGCAATAAATGCTTCCGATGTCCTGAAAAAAACTGAATGTTTGTTTCTTGATGTTATCAACCAAAAGAATACATGCAGATGAAGATCAGAACCCAGGATGGCTCAACTGAGGAGGGCAAATCCACTATGAGATCAGGACTTTAGTGATGCTGCGTAATAGTTCCAACACTAACTGCTGCTTACATCTCTGTTTGTACACAAAGAGCCAGCTGTTCTGACAGATTTACCATCACCACATTAAAAACACGTTACACTGCACAAATTAGTTCTTACAACCCTACCGAACAGCTGGAACAGGACTACAGACCCAAATACAGTGTTGGGTATCAAGAACCGTGGACTCGTTAAGACCCGTGCGTTTGGATCCTGCTCCTCGGTTCATAATTTCCTGCATGTCTCAGCTCCTGACTGAACTGCAGTGAGCATTTTACAGCATCAAGAGTCTCTGATCTGCCAGCAGCTTGAACTGTGTTCAACGTGTCGCGCTCTCCCAGATCCAGCTGACGCTAACAGCAGCAACGGCTCAGGTCCAAAACACAGGTGAGCCGACGTTCACCTGTTATACTGAAGGGAAACTGACGATGGCTACAGGTGAGACCCAGAGACGCCGCTCTAGGACAGAGACTCCTCTCACTTTAGAGACAGGAAGGAGAGGAGGAAGGTCACCGAGCGCTGACAAGATCCGAAGTGAAGGAACCAGAACCGAGAGTCCAGAAGAAGAAAGTCAGACAGGAAGTCAAACAGAGAAAGTGACTCGTGGAATGAAACTCAGCCCACACACACACACACACACACACAGCTAAATGTAGCCTATGAGTTTATGAGGGTCATCAGGGTCTGGTCTAAAGCGCCTGCTGGTTTACTTACCGGTTCTCGTCTGTTCGGACTCTCCTGTGTTTCTTGCCTCGCCGCCGGTGTTTCTTACCGGTGGCGGCCGTGTTTCCGGTTGCTGCACCAATAGCTGCTGAGGAGAAGGAACAACAACAGAGTCAAAAACACATGCGATCACACACTCAGCACTTTCTGTGATTTAACACATCTCCAGCTCATTTACACAACCACACACCAAACTTCATTTAGAAATTTAGTGATTTGTTCCTTATTAGCAAGCACAGGACTCCAGGAACATGACCAGCAGTCCCTTTACAGAAGGATGAGGCACCAGTTTTCACTTTGGCATTCATACTGTGCACCAACTGCATCAATCATTCTGAGATTTGACAGATAACAGGTTCAACACAACATGAATGACCTAGATACAAATCACATCAAAACATCACTTATACAAGCACCATTCATAAAACTCCAAATTCAGCCCCTCTCCTCCATATTGGGACAATTCAAACATTAATTGTCACACTGGAGAATTATTGAAATGATCGTTTAATTCAGCATACAAAGCACAGACTCGTTTATGAACAAGAATCTTATTAACGTTTCTGATGTGGTTAACCTGAAACTACACCATGGAGCGTGGCAGCGACCAGCAGGAACCAGTTATGAAAGTTCACCTTTAAGTTAACCAAATACCAACTGGACGATCACCTTTGTGCCGAATTTTCCAGCAGACATTTGTTTCGGGGAGAGGGGGAAAGGTCCGATTCTAGCAGGTACAAATCATCTGCTGGGAAGCCAATCACTTCTAAATGCCAGATTTTTTGAATGGAGTCTGGCTGAGACGGAAAGCCGAATCTGTGTGTTGTTGTCAGCAGCAGCAGCAGTCACAGGCTGGTACCGTTAGCTTAGCATGTTCTGTGGAGTTCATACTGCACCGACAGCACTCACAGCTGAACCGGAACAAAGACCAGGATCAGGAGTACTTTACCTATCAGCATCCTGGCTCCCGGTCCTCAAACAGAACCGGGTCAGAGCGGTCTGTCCCGGGTGGGCTGACGGTGCTAGCTTGTTAGCCTCCGTTAGCCGGCTGAACGAACCCAGGAGACGGTCCGACTGGAGGTGGTTCAGCCCCGTTAGCTCCCGGTCCAGATCAGCGGCTCTCCCTGCGCTCCGGCCCGGTCGGTACCGGATCGGTATCTGCACAGTACCGGGTCCACTCGGTTATTCTGGGTGTGTTTTCTGTTCTGCTTCGGTCCTACCGTTCATGGTCTCAACAGCTGCTGACAGTCTGACACCGGACACCGGGCTCTGCGCATGCGCAGTGACCGATAACGGCAAGATGACCTAAACTGGGAGCAGTGGCGGATCTTAATATTTTAAAGGGGGGGACTTTGGGGGTCCCGGCACGAAAAGACTGAATAGGCAGGTAAATGACGGGTAAACTCACCGTGTGGTCCAGCTCATGGATGGATAATAATACTACTAATAATAAACTGGATTTACTTTATTTGCCCCCGGAGGGCTGTTGGTTCTGCATAATACGTAAAATACTGAAACGTTGCAAATTCTGGTTGTCAACAGAGCAATAAATATAATAATACAGAATAAAGTGCTCAAATTCAGTACATCGATTATCAACATGACAGTCTTAAATATGAGAGATGTATAAATAAGCCTACAATTTCACAGCCATACACCACCATCATCATCATCGCCGTCGTCGTGGTCAGTACCATCCATGACATAACAACACCATCACTATTAAATTATTAGAAAGAATGAGTGGCTATATCTATTGCTCTTTCCAGGGGGGGAAAAATTACAGTAATTGGTTAGAATAAGTATGGAGGGGAGAAAGGGGAAGGAAATGACCTTGGGCCTGTCGGGTGTGGCTAAGGGAGGGTGTTCCAACAGAAAATAATATGACCAAGGGCCTAATTTATAAACAGTGTGTAGGGTCCAACATCCACGTCAAGGACTCCCGAAATGACATGACTGTTTGAAAGTACCAGTCCAGCGACAGGTCTTAGAGCAGCAATCATTTTAAAAAGATCTTTTTGTCATATTTGCTGAGACTGTCACTATATCCCGACAGTAGTTAGCTACATGAGACAGATAAGGCCTTTATAAGGTACAAGGTTGTTGTCATTATTCATGGTTTTCAGTCACGTGACATGTGAGGTGACCTGGAGGGCAAAACAAGAGGGGCTCACACCGCGACTCCACGTAGAGACACCGCAAAACTTAAGAAAAGGAAAGATATGAACACAAACTGCAAGTGTCGGGCATATCTGATCCGTGTAACGTTACGGCTTCTTAATTAACGAAATTATATTTGTAGTTCCTTCACGCTACACACACGTGTCTGCAGGCTGCAGCCGGACCCTTCTCCTGCTCTGGGCCTCCAAGCATCGGAGGGGCGAGTTGATGCGAGAGGGACCAGTGTGAATCATTTTAACCTCAGCGGAGGGCTAAACCGTTAGTGTTCCATGTTCCACAGGAGGGGGTTAGAATGAAACTTTGCTCAGACCTCTGGGTTTCTCCCCTCTCAAACAGTAAAAGTGTCAACATGCCAGACAAGAGAAGGGTGACGTAGTTCACACCGTTTATATTTCTCTGGGGCTTTTTAGCTTATTTACAAGACATCAGAGGTCGAACGCCTCTGGAACATCTGGAGGTCAAGGGTCTTGCTCAGGGACACATCGGTGGTTGTGTCACAGTGGGAAGCGAACGTGGGTCTCTCCCCAGCCATGTGTCTCATCCACTGGGCGTGGAGTTGGATGGGCGTTTCAAACACGGGAGAGTAGCGTTCGAGTCCCGTGTGAAACCAAGTAAATGTTTTTCTGAGCTTTAGTTAAATAGCATGACTGACTACTGTCACATGACTTATTTAACCTAAACCACAATGTTTTCCTAAACCTAACCAATTTGTTTTATTTGATTACCCTGTTAAAATTGGATATTAGGGGCCCATACGAGTGTTTCTCCTGCACGTCCATGGCGTACGCACCAGGCAACCACTTCTCATGGTACTGAATCGGCGCCATCTTCGGGTCTGGTATCCAGTTCTAAAAATACATCTATGGTTCAGCTGTCCTCATCTCTCTTACTGTCTCATCTTCTTCATCCCTCACATTCACTTCTTCTTTCTCTCATATTCTGATGTCTTCACTCTGTCAGTTTATTTTTTCCGTCCTCTCTTCATCTCTCCCTCCTGAATGTCTGAAGGAAGTTGCTGCTCTGACCAACAGCACTCAGGGTGTGAAAGGATTTCTTAATACAGTAAACTGTAACAGTGAGATATCAAAGATATATTCACCCAGGATGGATGTTAGTTTATCTTTGTAACTGACACTGCTGTTTTAATCCTGCAGTCACCAGCAGACTTTTTTACTAAAACCAATAAATTCTAACAAATTCAATAAAACTATCAGACACAGAAAACCGACATCAGATATCTGGTCAGATTCATAATAGTTCAGCTGGTGTCCCAATGCAGCTGTCGATATCGTTGGAGACGTTTGTGTCTGATTTAGTGACCGTTAAACCAACACGCTTCCTGATTTTTTTTTGTTAGCCAAGGTTCTTGTACGGCTGTTTGTATTCAGGAAACATTTAAAACAAGACTCATTTTGTTAAATTCCAATATTTCCTCAAAGCTAGGCATTGAAAAAGTATTGTTTTGGAACCAGTACTGAAATGAAACTCACAAACAGAGAACTGTTAAAATTATAACTTTATTTTTACATGATACAAATTGTGTTTGGCCTCCTGCCTCCTCACAATAAAAACACATTTCCATTGCAAACTGACTCGTCTTCATCATCCTCCTCCTCCTCCTCAGACAGGTATTTACAGGCACATTTACACACTGTTAGCAAACTGTACACAGCCAGTAGGAGAGCAGCTCCTGGATTTATTTTATACAAACCCTTTAAAGTTTTTATTCCCTTGTAGAAAAAACGTTTCAGTAACAAACAGAGCTCGACCAATCAGAGCTGAGGATCTGTTTCATCATGTCCCTGAAGATTAGAAAACTGTACAGAGATCAGGAGGTCAAAGGTCAGACGTGATCTTCGCCCACCATTTACATACATCATCAGTGACATGGCAAAGTTTATGCTCCGCCTCTTGTTGTAATTAAAAAAAAAAAAAATTTGTTTGAAGAAGCACCGTAATTCTTCATCATCATCATCATCATCATCACACGCATGCAGAGGTCTAATTTGATCACAGAACTACAACTACGGGTCAAACACAGGCTCAAAAAACACGCAAGGCAAAAACACAGAAGAGAGACATTCAGATTAAACAGCGATAATCATCAGAAATATTAGAAGAAGAAGGAGAAAAGTACAGAAGCTGCAATCAGTCGTCAGCAGGAAGATCATTCAACAAACGTCTCATTTTAACAAAACCGGTCAATTTTCGGTTTCAGTTCAGCAGCAGACCCGACCGCCGAGCGACAGAGTCTGTTCATGTATTGCCTGATGGGTTTAGCTTCAGAGTCCATTTACACTGAAAAAGATACAGCAGGAGACCAGAACTCGACAGTGTCCTGTCAGGAGACCAGAACGTGTCCTGTCAGGAGACCAGAACTCGACAGTGTCCTGTCAGGAGACCAGAACGTGTCCTGTCAGGAGACCAGAACTCGACAGTGTCCTGTCAGGAGACCAGAACGTGTCCTGTCAGGAGACCAGAACGTGTCCTGTCAGGAGACCAGAACTCGACAGTGTCCTGTAAGGAGTCCAGAAAGTGTCCTGTCAGGAGACCAGAACTCGACAGTGTCCTGTAAGGAGTCCAGAAAGTGTCCTGTCAGGAGACCAGAACTCGACAGTGTCCTGTAAGGAGTCCAGAAAGTGTCCTGTCAGGAGACCAGAACTTGATAGTGTCCTGTCAGGAGACCAGAAAGCGTCCTGGTCAGAGGACTCGACAGTGTCCTGTCAGGATACCGGGAAGTGGAAGTGTCCTGTCAGACCAGGCAGTATCCTGTCAAGAGGGTCCAGTCAGGAATTGGAAGTGTCCAGGAAGTATCCTGTTAGAAGTCCAGGATGCAGAAGTGCCTTGTCAGGATACCACGAAGTATCTTGTCAAGATAGTCCAGTAAGTATCCAGTCAGGAATCCAGGAAGTGGAAAGGTCCTGTTAAAAAAAAAATCAGGACGTGTCCTGTCATGAGACCAGGAAGTATACTGCCCCACTCTGTGGTTGACAGCAGAGTTGCACATGAAAACTAAGTAAAACTCTGACAGGTCTTCCATACTGTGACGGTTTCACCGAGAAAACATACCAACAGCTAAAACAACAAACTGTTGCCACGCAGACGCAACTAATCATCTCCAGGCTGAATCTAAACCTTCCACCTCTGCAGACTGAGTCCTTGTGGTTGTGAAGCAGCAAGAGAGAAACTGCACTCTAAGACACGACTTTAGACCTTGAGCTTTAGTCTGAAAAGTTTCTTCATACTGGTAGTTATTTGCAAAATATGTGCTGGTTTACGTAGAGATAGAGAACGGTGGATATGTCCAGTAAAACCTTCCCTTTACTACTGATGATGTATGTAGATCAAACCATCAGCCGAGGATCCTCACGTCGTATGTGGTCCAACTGCTTTTGTCTTAGTTGAACAAAAACCAACCTTTAACTTTCTTTTACATCATGACATATCGAAGTCTGTGAGTGAGTGCAGGGAAGTTTTCAGATTCAGCCTGTGTGACAGTTAACACTTACTACAAACAGCTACTTTCACACAGTTAGCATATCCAACGTTATGCTAGCTCTGTGTATATCCAGTGTTATGCTAGCTGTTTTGCTATGATAGCTGTTTTTGTTCAACGATCTTACACAGTTGTAACATTATGTCAGTAACATTTGAAACAGCAGTTGACAAACCAACCTAATCAAGTAAGTGAGTGAGCAAGAAAATTGAGATTGTTTTTGTCAACGTAGAGTAATGTTATGCTAGCTGTTTGTAGCATATATCCAGTGATACTCAGACTTTTATATTTGTACATGAGGGTTTGTGTAAGTTGCTGGTTGTTTTCCCTCAATGGTTCAATAAGAGCCAATTATTAAAATGAATTTATCTTCCCATGTTGAACTGGGACACGTGATCAATAAGGCTGCTGCCAGGACAGACAGACAGACAGACAGACAGCGCAACCTAGCTGCAAGAGTGAAGGCACAGCCGGGATTAAATAGGTATAAATAGGACTTACAGTATGTACACATAATAAGTTAGTGACTATAGCAAACACACAAACACACACACAGTTTAACGCCCCCCTCCCCCAATTTAAGATTGTTTTTAATCATTGATCAGCTCTTTGTTC